ACATCCTCACACAGCTACTTACAGGACTGAAGAGCCCAGATATAGTCAAATTATATGATAGCTGCTTATCAAGGAAGCAAGGATGCATCATTCCAGCCATGAGATTGTTGTGAGCAACACTCAAGAACAGGTCATTTAGATTTCAGACATGTTCTGTATCTTGTAACGAGATGGTTTGGATTTATTCTCATCTTTCCCCTCTAAGTGCACTCCTACACAGCTCTCCACATTTCTTAACATTTCACTCAGTCCTTCAGGAGCTGTAAACGGACAGAAAACTATAAACGGAAGGCTTTTAACCGAGATTTCTTAATTGGGCCTTTTCACTTTTGTGGAATGAAGTGAAACTTGGGTATATTTTTGTTGTGCCTATGTGTTTTGAAAACAGTTGCATAGGAACAGTGTTGGATAGTAATTTCCACATATTTTTAAATGTTGTACATTTTCCATTTTAGTACTGGTCATTGTTCTGAAGAATCTTAGTCTTTCACCCTGCATTACTTTTTCCATCCGTTTGATCCATTACTTCTCTTGGCTTACAGTAGCTCCTGTCCTCACCTGCTGACATTGTCTTTCTAATCCAGTGTTTAGCTTCTTTGGTGTTGGACTGTGTATAGCTGGAATTCTCCTACAGGTGCAAAATTACAAGACAAATACACTTAACCTTTGTGAAGCCTTAGGCATAATTTACACACGTGACATTAAGAGGCAGTACTCAGATTCATTTCCGGTACAGTCTTAACCTCCTTACTATTGAAGAATCAATCATCAGTAACATGTGTTGCACTGTCTTCTCTGGCTTCAAGTTTGCCTCATTCAGACTGACTAAAGAGCTTTTCATACATTACATTCATGCTCAAGCACAGATAGACAACCCAACATCCTAGATATTAGTTATGTGTGGGGATCAAATGTTTTAGTTACTGCTGTAGCAGATGCACTCTAATGTAGCAGCAACCAGTCACTCAGGCATTGAGTGAAGTTAGGATTAATTGTACAAATTTGTCTTCCTGTCCACTTTCCACTGTCCACTTTGATTCCACTCAACCAGGATCTCTGAGTCTAGATTTGTTTTAAAGCTGTCAGATTTATATGCTTTGATGATTCAGAGGTGTGGGACCTTTTCTTGGACAACAGTCATATTCAAATACAAGTTTTCACAAGTTGTCACTGTGGCCTACCTGGTTCTGTTAAACATCATGTGAAGCAAGGGGTTGTGACAGTTCTTTTCTTGTGCTGTGTCATTCATCACAACTATTTTTCTTCCTCATTGACTCATAATCTCAGAAGCACTGCCAAGAACTGTCAGTAGCCTGACAACACCAGGCTTTTACTAAGGGTGCCTCTGTGATTATGGCAACAGACTCATCTCCAGACCAATTCTTAAACCCCACTTGGTACAGTATTGTGCAGTGTGAAGATTAATCCTTTGGGAGGTGAATTCTCAATTTGGCAGAAATTAAGGCTCAGAGAATCATAATGATTGCAATAGAATTTTGATAGAGTTTAAAGTAGGCTACAATAGATTGTCATGATAATGCATAATGAACTTTAGAAATACAAGCCTAATACAAATAAAATGATGTCATCCACTTGTTGTGTCATGTTTTTCACATTGCCAGTAAAACCTCAAATGAACATAAATGAACATCTAAATGCATTTTTTATATTAATGGTAGAATTTTGCTCTAAATTTGGATGTACAAGTTACTGATGTCAATATCAGGAGAATTGGTATGCCCTACTTTACCTTCTGGTTATGTGAGTCCAACCCCACTACCGTCCATCTCATTGCTTTGCAAACAAGTTCAAGGTTGTTTTCACAGGTGCCTTATTGGAGCACACAGCCTTGTGCACACACTTAAATCTAATAATCCAGACCAATTTAACCATAAAGCTGGTGCAGGAGAAGGGAAACAGCCATTTCCTCTCTGACCACTGCCAACCAGCCAAGCTACACACGTCTGTTCACCTTTGAGCATGTGTGTGTCAGGGCCTGGTGAGTAAGAGATACCACTCTGCAGCTTCCTGTTCTGTCCATGTTTAAATGCTTCTAACGCAGTGCTGTTTCTCTAAACTAGGGCAAACAAACTAGTCCACAGTGGAAGCAACATCCTGTTCCCTGGAGGTTATTTGCCAAAGCTTTGAGAAGTCTTGTGGCACAATCTACCACTGATAGTGCAGTGATTTTCTTGCTTTTAACTATTACCGATCAGAACCCCGAACTGGAAAATCATTGTCTTTGCTGTTGTCATGAATGTGCCTGTTTTTGTGCTCAACAATGTCACTTCGTTGATGAGTCCCAGCCAATGCTGCTACAGAGCGCATGTCTTATCCAGTTTCCAAACTGCACCAAGTTCAAAAGTGCATTTCATTAGGTGTGCAACAATTATCATGCCAAGTGTGAAGCTGATATGATGAACCACTCTCAAGATACTTAAATAGATTATGCTTCCAGGCATTATTTTTTCAGGTTCTCCAAACATTCGTTAATTCTCTTGAACACAATCTGTTAGGAACAACTTGAGTGTTTTATGAACTTAGACTCAAGGATGCACTGATTAGATTGTGACCTCACAAAATATGTTTTTGGCCATATCTCAAGAATTTGTACCCTAATTTTGACACAATTCTGTCTCACAATGTCTCATCGGATGAAATTATGAAATTTTATATCCAGAACTCAGGAACAGAAGGGGAGGTTGTGACCATATAGTTCACATTAGGTTGGATCCTGAATTGCTGACACCTTGTACCATTGTACCCACCTTGAAACTGGCTGGTTGAAGATATGTGGAGCATTCACATTGAATAATCAGCTGCTTCTCCGCAGCAAAATGCAGATTTGAAGCATTGTCTGCTGTCACAGATGCAACTGTACAACTCTATCAGAATCAGCTTTATTGGCCAAACATATACAAGGAACTTTTATATTTTCTCTGTGTGATGACTTCAAAGTCTTTACTACATTTATTGTAGGAGTCTGGACAGACATTTGTTATAAACTGCAAATCAAATGGTTGGCAAAGGTTTCAACCACAAAGCAGCAATTCTTGTTCACCCAAATGAGACTTGACTTCTTATCAATACTTTCCTTTTGCATATTTTAATATTCATACCCAGTAGCGACCGACAGTCTTCATTGCTGTGACTCGAGATCTAAATGTGCTGTCTAAGGAATGTAGAGTTTCATCATTAACTCTCCCTGACCATTGCCACAACCAGTGGGATTAATCTGAGTTTTAATTTAGCAGCAACTCATAACAGCAGCCTCCACCCCCTCCCTCTCTGCAGACCTGAATCCTTACATTCTAATTGCTCTTAACATTTTTCAAAGCCATCTGTACTTGTTTTCTTCAAAGGGATCCCCACCCCATCACATGCGTGTCTATGTACATGTCGGGTCATAAGCTGTGTAAAGCGAGGGGTGTGTGTTGTGTGTCATTAGCTTCTCCCCTTCCTAGAAATAAAGAAAAAAATGCATTACTTTCTTTATTCAGCGTACACAGACGTGCACACATCCAAACAGCGCTGCTAAATAGATTCCTGGCAAACACAAGCTGTGTTGACAGGAGAGATGAGCTGCTGTTCCTGTTGCAGCTTGCCGAAGGCACAGAGCTGGGCCCGCGTTCAAAAAGAGCCGCCACTGTTGAAGCCACAAAGCCAGCAGACTTGTTGCTACTGCCTTTGCCAACACACACACATACACCCACTCACACACACGGTCCTGCATTGCTGTATTAAAAGCAACCGGGCGGGTGCTTCATTATTTGAACAGGTGATTCCCCTTCACATCTGCTGACCCCTTTGGATTAATGCCTTTTAGGAACTCTCACTGCCAGTCAAGTCAATCATGCACTGCTAGTTCGTTACGCTATAATGTTTACCATTTGAAGTAAAAAGCTGTCTGGTTTGATAGATGCATCATTAGAACTAGATTATGTTCAAAATTGTCTTTGACTGAGTTGAGCAAGTGTGTTTCATTAGAGTTACATCATTTTATTCAGGTGGAGCTGTGGGCCTGTCTGACAGGTTGCCCTGGCGACTGATGATGATTGCCCTTTTCAAAAAGACCTGAGGTCTCGCAGAACACCCTCGGGTCAAGGTGCTATTGGGACCATTTCCTGTCAAATGCCACATTTAACCTTGGATGTTGGATTGCAAAACTGTTTTTGGGGTTTTTGATTTCCCAACTGCATGTCTGTTAGAAGAACATCTATTAGAAGCAAACTCGTCCATCAAGCCTAATCATTAATGCCATGTGCAACTTTTGCACTCTGTAAAACTCAAAACGCAGCAGGTTCTGACAAGGTATATCAGGATATTTAGGGAAGAAAGGAAAAAATCCTGCTCCTGTGTCACTGTGTGTGTATGTGTGTGTCATCATGAATTTCCTAAAACTTGATCGCCAACATCATCATTGGTGTTGTCACCTTGATAAAACTTTGTTTTCTGACTGACTTACTAAATCAGTAGGACAAAAACATATATAGTAATAACATAAGAATTTTTATTATGTTTAAATATATGAAAGTGAGTAAGTGAAAATAATACACAAGATGCTCTCTGATTATTTAACCTCAGAAACCTTTTTCTCTGCACACGTGTAACTTAGAAAGAAGGACTGCAAAGCAGAATCTTCTGAGCACTCCAGGCCGGCTGCACCCCTCACCCACTGCTAGACTCCCCCTCCTAGGGGTCGTAATTATCGATGTCCTGTGAGCCCTTCACCCTGACTTCACCAATTAAGAGACCCAAAAGCCATTTCCCTAATCAGTGCTAGTAGGGGTCTGGCTTCTGGTTGGCTCCTGTGTTTTATGTCAGTTACAGAGGATAATCTCACTTTGATGTTGACGTGGTAAATCGTGGTTGGCTGTCCACAGTGGAGGTGTCATCATGTGAATGTGTGAATGTGTTTTATATGACTTTGATCTTATAGAGGGAAAAAAACTGTCCAGTGTTTCCGACTAATGTATAATCTTCTCTTTGTGTTTTCTCAGAGGGGCACAGAGGGTTTCTGGAAGTCGGTGGCTCACTATGTGCCTCGTGAGCCGACCGAGATAAGAATCCTGAACCCCTACTTCATCCAGGAAGCTGCCTTCCAGTTCATCGGCCTGCCCTTCAACAATGGCATCATGGGCAAAGGAGTAAGACACAAGCTATAATATTCTACACACATATCAATACTGCAAGATTAGATGATAACAGTACTGTGCCCTGATTTGAACAGTAGCCTCTGTTCAATAATTCATGGCAGGAAAAATACAGACATTTTTCTGAAAGTCTTTTAAAGCTAGGGTTGGTAAGTTGTTTAACTTTGTTTAACTTATTTGTTGAAATCCTCTTCACATCTTAATAAATATACTTGTCTGAAAAAAAAAGAAGGAATTGGTGTCTGTGGCCCTCGCAGGATGATAAAAAACACGACCAAGCATTTCATCCGGACCGAATCGAATGATTCGACTGCGTGCAACCTGGTCATGCTGTCACTGCACATGACCAGGGAGACATACATTGCTGAAGTAGAGACAATTGCCAGAAGTTAGTGCGTGAGTCACATCAAAGTTGGGTTCTAGCAGTATTAGAAGTTGATGTGTGCACTTTGCTCATGAGTCGTGTTTGTATGGACCTGAGAAACACAAGAACATTTCATGATAGAAATTTCAGTAGGTGGTCACAGACCAGGGCAGAGAGCAGAAAAATACAAACTCAACACTTCAGAGTGCAGTGATCTGTTGGTGGGTAGGGAGGGAATATTATTAGAGAAATGAGTGTATCACTGCAGCTCTGCCCTCTGGGGCCACCAGAACACCCCTGCATGAACTCCCCCCTGCAACATGTGTTCAGCATGTGGGCATCTGGCGTGTGTGTGAGTGTGCGTGAGTGTGCGTGCGGGTGTGTGTGGTCATGTGTGTTTGCGACTGGGTGCAGCGTTGTCTCATACAATACAAGCTGCAGAGTTGTATGATTTGGTGCATTCTTTCACTACAACACCCTCCTGTCATTCTTGCGACCATCAGAGTGTATGTTTATTATGTACATGAAAATGAATGAGGAGGTCTATTTATCATATAAGTGTTTATGTTGAGTGTGAATGTGAGTGTGTGTGTAAATTAATCTGTATTAGAACACGCAGTAGGGGGTTGGCCAGCTGCTAGTTCAGCACCACCTACCCTGAGGGCTGCAAATCAGGGTAATGGTTTTAAATGGGGCCTCCCTCCACTCTTTCTTCTGGACCTGCTTTTTTTTTCTTCCAACACACACTCATTTTTCCTCTCTCTCGTTCTCCAACATCCACACACACACACACACACACACACACACACACACACACACAAACACACCCATACATCCCCTATACCCCCCAGATCTCTTGCAGCCCAGGGCAGTTAGGAAGCACAGTTCAACCCTGTAGATCACTGTCGTAGCAGGGGTCTGTAGGGGTCGTGTCTTAAAGGTAATAGTTAATCACCAAGTGCTCAAAGTCAGTTAGCAGCGGCGCAGCAGAACAAAGACAGAGGCATAAATGAGGAAGGGAGGCAGATACACTAGCGGGAGTGGACATCTGTCTCAGAATAAGCTGAACATGTTAATACTGCATGTGTCAATATTGATGTCAAAATAGAACTTTATTTTAATGTTCCATGTGTGTTTGTATTGTAATGATCTGACAGACTGTGTCTCTGCTTTTACTATAGAACATTCCAACTCTAGGAACAGTTGCTATAACGATGGCACTGCATAACTGTGATGAGGTGGCGGTGGCAGGTTTCGGCTATGACATGAATATGCCCCATGCACCTCTGCATTACTATGAGACTGTCAAGATGTCTGCCATTAAAGAGGTGAGTGTCTGAACATCTGAAAACATAACTTATTTCACTACAAACCTATCAGATATTCAGAGTGTTCTTAAATTGCCTGATTTTCCAATGAATGTGTGGTTAATAAAGGATATGTGAAGAAACATATTACTAATATTTGTTGAGGATGGCCACCAATCCTGTGGAGGATGAAGGGGAATTGAAATGGCTTACAGCCAAAGTACATTCACTTTCTTTTTTGGCTGATGGTAATATTGGTCCAAGAATTGTGCATGATTTCAATTAATCTCTGCTTTAGCAAAGATATTTCAGTGTTTGCAACATTGCCTCTGTGCGGCCTTCTTAGTCAAATGTTTTATGTTTAAATGAAGCACATAATGAGAAATTAAACATTTCAAAAGTGTGCTTTATTATTTTGCTTTAAAGGCACTTTAAACATGGTGGGGATTATACTCAAAACAAAAAAAGATTCAGTGTGTTAGATTTAGGTGAAAGGGATCTATTGTCAGAAATGTTATATAAAAATAATCCTAGTGATGTTTTCACTAGTGTGTTTCATCTAAATTGTAGATATTGTTTTCTTTACCCTGGAATGCGCCCTTTATTTTTAAATACTTTATATGTAAATCAGGAGCAGGTCCTCTCTACAGAAGCCACCATGTTTTTTTTTACAGTAGCCCAGACAAGACAAACTAAACACATTTTTTTTAGTTTTTATGACAACTGAAGGCTTCCACGGGTTCTATCGTTCTCTCCTGTTTGGAAGGAGAGGGGTATTCAGCTGCAACATGCAACTTCACCACTAGATGTCACTAAATTCTACACACTGAACCTTTAACTAAACTGAATGGGATTATAAGAGGAAAACACAATTACAAATATTTGAAGTGTAACATCCTTCGATTGAAGCACTGCTATTCTTTGATTGGTCGCTTGAGCAAGATGCTTCACTGTTGTTTCACTGCATGGTTTGAAAAAGCATTTTCGAAGCGCTCTCATTACGGACCTCTCCGCTCCATCAGTCAAGTTCCTCTCTGTGTTTACACTAAAACCCAGTGGAATCAAAGATGTCACCCGTGTGCTGACGTGTGTAAACCATGAGCTCAGTATGATGATAACCTTTGTCTAAACTCCCCCTGAACCTTTGGTATTTATTATCATCTTCATCATCAACATTGTCATCATCAGCCACACATGGCTAATTAAGGGGAACACTTCAACCGCTGCCAGTGCCTGGGGTTGTTTGATTTTCTGGGGCCATGCGGCAGCTGAGCGGTGAAATCATCCACTTTTATTCCAGTACTTTGGAGAAAGAGCTTGTTTCCTATCTGGATGGATGGTGTAAAGCTCCACAGAAATCCTATAACACCTGCTGTGGTATAAGTTCTGTTCCCACAGCTAACCACGTTTAAAATGGATTTAATAAAGCAGCTACTATTACTACAATTTAAATTGATAATGGATCAAAAAGTGACAACCACCTTACTCCACCTCTTGGTAATTCCTGTAGTTCTTGGTATCTTGAAACTTACTTACTTGGTTTTACATTCTACAACTTCAATGTTGTGATTTTCTCTCACTGCTGTCATCAAGTTTGCAGCAGTAATGTTACAGACAGGCTAGCTAGCTAAGTTGTTATTCAGTCATAGCATCTTGTAAAGCTAAAAAGTAGCTACTAATGTAGATGGTCCTGGTTCTAGACCCTATTCTTCCACACTACTAACAACTCCCCTGTTTTCTTGACTTGTCAGTTAAATTTACCAGTGGTGAAACGTTGACATTATGTCAAACCCTGTCCCTGGTCTGCTCAAGCAGATGGTGGTGGCATTTGGAAATCTTCTAATTCACTCTTACAGCTCTTAGCAACTTTTCACCCCCCAAAAAGATCTGAAAACCCATTATAAACTCCTTTTCTAGCACCAAACAGCAGATAGACCATGTTGGTATCTAGCTGGTGGATACATTACATTTTATAACTCCTTCTCCACCTAAAAACATGGACATAGGACTTTTGTTGAATTGGTTTTTTGAACAACCTCCCAAATCAACATCCACCATGTGGATGCAGTATTTCGACGAATTTAAAAAACGTAGCCGCTAATGTAAATGCTAAATTTCTATTTCTTCAACTACACTTATTAAGATTAACCTCTGTTCCTGACTTGAAAACAAGTATTGACATTGTGTCAACACTTTTGTTCCTTGGCCTGCTTGCAGAGATAAGCTAAAGATGCTGAAGACTAAAGAAGCATTTTGCAGATAGATCTCCAAAGACGTTTTTCTTAACCTCAAAAGAAAATAAAAAAGGTATACATTTGTAATTCAGTTACAGTTCATGATTTTAACTGAAAAAAGGTTGATTTAAGTTGAAAACATTGCAATCATGTTTCTGATGCTAATTTCAAATCAAACTGGCTCATTGTCCCTTGTCAGCCATCACACAGAGATATGTTTGGAGGTTTGACTCTGAGCCAGTAGAATAGTCTTAAACTAGGTCTGGCTCCTGCAGGGCCCAGCCTAGCTTGCTGCAGTTATTTTTTTCATTTATTTTTTTACTCTTATTCCCTCCTGTATATGTCTTCCTCCACCCTTTACCTCTTTCATTTCCTCTCTGTTGTTCTTCAATTCTCAATCCCAAAGCACCATACAGGAACCAGCAGCTTGGGTTACATGTTGACCCACTGGACAGAATCCTCCTAGCACAGCAGGGAGGAAAACTGACCCAGCGTGGCTTTACACTTTCAAATGCACACCTACGCATTCAGATACTGGGAATATGAAAACCCCAAACTAACACACTTGTGGCTCAGTGCATATAACAATGCTTATGTCATGAGTGCTGTTAAGTGTTGTCTTCCTACATCTGCTGTGAGGTTGTAAAACTGATTTTTCTTTTCCTCTGGTTCTCCTGCAGTCATGGACACACAACATATCCAAGGAGAAGGAGTTCCTCCGCAAGCTGGTTAAGGCCAACGTCATCACAGACCTGACCAATGGTATCTGAGTTTACAACCCACCTACAGTCTCCCTCTGCCTTTCCCAAAAGACTTACAGATCAGGAAGCTGGGAAAAGGATCAACCCAGGGAGAGAAAAAAACCTTCGTATTTGGGTGGCCTGCACACTGCCGGGGGTTTTATATCAAATATTAGAAAATAAAATGATACAGGAGGGTTTCTGTGGAGAGTTGCACACATGTGCCTTCTGAACCAAAGACTCCTGCTGATTGAAGCGGGGGTGGCGAGGGGTCCCGGTGAGGACTGGATCTGCCTTGTTCCTGTCTCACCATAAGACAGCCGCAGAAAAAGCTCCACCGGCCCCCGCACTCCAACGTTTACCACTTCACATCACTTAATTCACTAGTAAGAGCAGAGGTGACATGTTGACAAGCAGATGTCAGAAGTTTAGCTTGACTTACCGGCTAACTTGACGAAGGGACAGAGGAGAAAGGAATAAAAAAAGAGGACTGTCACAGAGATGAGTTGAGTATTAGCAGTGCCAAACGTACCTCGTACAGGGGAGAGGTCGCCCACCTCTCCTTTTTGCTGCCTGAATGTATTCACTTTCCTCAGTGTAAATATCAAAGATTTTTACTGTGCTTTTTAATGAGCTGCAGCAGCCCCCCGCCCCACATCTGCCATTTGTCCATTCAACCATTCAACCATTCATTCATTTACCTTTTTACTAACAGCAGATAAATCAGTGAGGGTCACCTGCCACACAGACTGGTGTCACTTCATTGACATAGTATTGAATTAATGTACAGACTTCAGTTTCTGAAGTGTTTTCTGTAGAGAGATTGTGTTAGTGACTCATAACCAGGTGCTTGTTCAGTTGACTCTGCACAGAGGAGCTCTGTTTGGTTCCCTGATGTCTCATGTGGCTGCTTGGTTTAGGTGTGAGGCCAAAAGTAAGAATAATAGAGATAAATGACTTGAAAGTGTTAATTAAAACTAAATTTGCTGAATCTTAATTTAGATTTTAGCTTTTATGATGTTTTCACCTACAATGGATTGGAACCACACATAAGGACCAATACATATTCATTCTTTTCTTCATAATTATTTAAATTGGTCAGCCAGCTCTGGCAGGTGAGCCCTGAAGTCAAATCTGGACACTACATCTCTCTCTCCTCCTCTTTATCTGTTCATTACCACCATGGTACTGTCTTCATCACTTCATCAGCTGAGAGCTTCAGGCCGCAGTGGAGACATGCAGCATTGTAACGTATGTGGTGTCCGGTCGAGCAGGGCCGAGACTGTATGTCAGACCCCTCTCCCAAACCTCCTGTTGCTGCAGACTTTTTTGTTCTTCAGTAAATGGTGAAATCTTGGATTGTAGAATATTAAAAAATATATATATATTTTTGTTTTTAGGGTTAATTTTAATAATTTATTTTGTTACAAAGTCCCAGTGTGTTTTGGTCACAGGCAGGCCTGCTTTCCATTGTTTTTGTTCAGAAAAATGCAAAAGGTTTGAATTTGTGTTTTGATTTCACCACCATGTGCTTCCTCAGAGACTGCATCTTTAAGGGTTGTGGCAGAAGCAGTGTTGTGATTAAATCCACCGATTTAAATCTGTTTTTAATTGGCTTAGTGTTAAATATCGGCAGCTCTTTCTTTCTGCCTGTCGTTCAGCTCACGTTAATATAATTCATTACATTTTCATGAAGGAGGTGATAAAAGCTGGGTTTGATTATAAACAAACGTGCCAATCAGGCCTTTGCTATTTGCAGAAGAAGGTTTTGCCACGGGCTTTTCAGTATTTATTATTTGCATTTACACGCAGAACACATTCAGTATTACACAATCAAACATTTTGTTTCTCGTGTTCTAACTTCAAAAACTGTGAGAATGTCACATTATATATTTTGAAAGAGTAAATCAGCTTTACACATTGATACTGCATTTTAAAAAAATTTTATTCTGGTCAAATGACAAGTCAAAGAGGGTTATGCGCAAGTTCTGTTTCTACTTTGTATTTGGAAGTGCGTATTTACTGTACATCGCACTCACACAAGTTAGTCTCCAATACTGTCAGTCAGAAAGCTGCTGCTGTTACATCTGTTACATTGCTCCATCGCGTCTTCCTTTACTTGATTACGTTTCCACAAACACTGCTGGGACCGTCCAGCCGCGTGTCCGACCCAGTCCCTTCAGAGCGGTTCCACTGGGTTTGAAGAAATGGATCATTACTTGGGGATTTTTTTCTTTTTTTTGTGTGTGTGTTTTGGAGCGGTAACAGAGAACCGCTGACCATTGCACTATCATGAGGCGCTCTCAGTGCCTTACACCTCATCACCTGGAAACTGTAGCGTGTGATTCAAGAAAAGCAACTGCAGCTGATTGGGTTTGTAGGATCAGCTCCAGGTCAGGACGGGTCACTCCTCATAGCTCTCGTGTGGGACCAGTCCATTTCATATCTGTACTTTATTAGGGTAAGAAGACTGAAAGCCCCATACTGGTGGTTCTGTGTGTTTTAGCCCATAATCGGAGTATTCGTAGTGAATGGAAATGATAGGAGACCAATCAGGCAAAAACTTGGAAGGCAGATTACCAGTCGAAAAACTATATATTATCTTGTGGGAAATGGTAATTAATAATGTACAATATGTGCAATGTAGGCAAAGGTGCCTAAAACATACCAAGCCACCTGTATGCTCTATAAAGCTTTGAGACTAAGCAGATCCTTGTTTGAAGTGAACCCTTTTCTCTCTCTTTTTTTATTTTTTTCTTGCAGTAGGTTTTAAAATTTTAAATGAATGCTGGAGGAGTTCAAATAGACTGGACCCAAATCGCCTCTTCTATTAATCTGTTCGTAATAAAGCAGAATGTATTAGCTCATCGTATTTATATACTTTTGATTGTTTTTTAATTTCATTTTACATTTCACTATCATCAGTGGGAAAGTGAGTGATCAAAAGTATTACTGTTTGTTTTATATATATAAATATAAATATATATATATATGGCTTTCTGCAACTCCAACTCAATAAATACGTTTGTAATGGATATTTGCCTGTGCATGTTTGCATCTTTTGATTCTGTCGAGCAACTTGGATATATTTTTCCTCGACAGCTCAACTGAGATTTTTGTCTTGTTGTATAAATATTTTTCTGTACACTGTGAATTTTCAGTTTATATAGTAAATATTTTTTGATTTATTGAGATGACTTTCTGTTTTTATCTCTTCTGACAGGCGTTACTTTTCATCCTTGTGTTTGTCATAATGTGAGTCCGCTGAAGATAAGTATCCCTCAGAGTCACAGTCCAGTAACGTTATAGTGGACGGGGCCCTCACGTTAATTCAGTGCATCAGATATTCTCCAGTCTGTGTCACATTCAGAGGTGAAAAACTGCAGGAAGTGCACAGTAAAGATGAAGGAGGGTTGCAGAAGGGGATTTCCTCTGGTGCTCTGTACTCTTTATCTTCTACCTGCAGAGCCAGATGAAATCATTTTTCAATCCTCCATCCACAGGACTTCCTCTCTAATGTAATCTCCTTCTCTCTTGTGTGTTTATGTCTGTCTCACTCTGTGTCTCTCTCTGACTCTTGCTTTTCTCTGCTCACCCACTTCTCTTCTTTCCTTCCCTCATTTTTCTCTATTTTGCTGTCTGTTCCCATCTCTGTACCACACATTTCTTTCTCTTCACCTGCTCAACTCTGAGCTGGATCTTGTTTCATTGTTGGAGCCCACAGGGACCCATTCAGAACCTGTTGTGCACGTGCACACACACACACAAAACCCAGACTACTCAGCTGCAGCCGTGAAACTCTCACTCACTTTGACAGACTGCAACATCACCATAAACCAGAGTTCTGCTAAGAGCATGGGAGAGCAGGCTGTCCAGCTGCTGTAGGTCACTGCTGGTGTGAGGTGAGGGAGGACAAAATCCTGAGGGCCCTTCAAGCACCGCTGGACGGTCCCATCCTGCTGTTGATGGGCTGCCAGAAACTTTTTTGGCCCCCACTAGTCACACCTCACTGGTGACCACCAAAGCTCTGGCTACTCTGACTCTGCAGATTTCTGACCTCCGCAGGGTGGGATCGAATGCTCCCTCCCCTCAGCAGGAGGATATTTGCCACTGGGGATCTCCCCCCAAGGCAGCTGGCCTGCTGGAGGCGGTCGTTCCTGTTTGTCCGGCAGACAGGGGTATGAGCATGCCTGCACCTCTTCAGCCGACGGGCCTTTTATTCTTGGCGACAGGTTCCCCGCCCCACCTCCTCTCAGTAGGGTTGGAACGGAGAGGCCATGACCTCCGGGCCTGAAATTTAAACTCCTCGTAAAAAGAGTTAGAACGGGGAGAGAAAACACCCATTCAGACAGCCATTTTTCCTGTGTTTACTTAATGCCGGGTCAGCTGAGATCAGGGAAAACAACATTCCCTTCTCCGCACCATGTCCCACATTCTGTCAGTCTGCCTTTGTGTGTGTGGATGGGACACACCTACAGGCTGTCATGTACCTGTATCACTGCAGGGAGCTGAGTGTTTCTGCTTGTCCTGTCACACTCTGAACTTGAAGTGTAGCGATGATCATTTCTGGCTCATTAGTGAATATCAACAAAGTGGTTTTCAATGGTTTCAGAAACGTTTCAAAAATTCCATTGTGATTTTCAAGGACAGCAAGTCCCTGTGTTCAAAAGTTTCTGGTCGTTTCTCAATCCTACACAAAGAAGTGCCCCGACGCAAGAAGAAAATCGAAAACATCTGTGAGTTCAAACATCTGTACGTCCAAAAAAAATTACACGACTGGGTCAACTTTGTGGTCTTGAGAATGAAGTATGAGGAGACGGTGCAAATGCATTTCAAACAACTTTGATATGTGGTGCATGTTGCAACACCTTGCTCATAGTTGGAGTCCTGTCAGGATATGACAATATTTTTCTCATTAATGTCAATACTCCCTGAATTTTTTGCCACATAACAGAAAGAATTTGGTGTCTCCAACAGCTGTTTTTTATTTTTCATTCATCTGTCCTTTATTTTATTGATTAGCCAATACATTTGATGAATTATTTAGTCTACATAATGTCAAAAAATAATAAGAAAAAGTCTCAGAGGACAAAGTCTAAAACCCCCTGAAAATTTGGTTGACAAAATAATATCACCACAAACTTCACTGTACAGCTGTTCAGGAGTTTTCAGTCATATCACATCGTCTTTATGAGCAGATGGAGTTTCTTTGTTATGAAACTGTAGCTCTTCACTTTAACGACTTCTTGTCCGTAATGTTGAAGGTTGAGATTCAAATCACTTCTTCATCTGGGAAGTGGCTGCCTCTGGAGCTTTCAATCATGTCACATGATCTTCAACCGCGGACAAAGTTTGCTACTAAACTGACCTGGTGGTGAGATTGTTTGCAGCTTCTGCTTCCAAGCTCAAGAGTCAAGTTTAAAAATCAATTACAAGCCAACGTGGATTAAAAATGCGAAGTTCTACAATTCCATGAAAACTGGGCATCTCCATCTGCTGATGAAGACCATGCAGGAAAAAGTTTTTGCTGTGCTCAAGTGACTCAGCATTTTTAACATTTATGTTGGTCCGTCTGTCAGTCCGCCTGTCCACTCCTTGGATCCAGACTTGAATATTTCAAAAGGTATGAATTGGATTTTTTTTTGGTACAGTCTTGTTTCACAAGTTGTGAATAATGATCTTGACGATGCTCTGACAGTTTTGAGTCCAGATGAATTTCAACTAGAAGGGCTATGTGCCAAAAGTGGGGAAAAGTCCTGCATCTTTTTTTAAACAACTCAGAAGGTTTAGTGGTTTTTCCTTGGCTCATGCCACACCCTGAGATAATACGTTTGGAATTGCCTTCACTTTTCTAGCGCCATCATCAGGTCAAACCTGTATCTGATATAACCATAGGCTTTATATGAAGCTGGACAACAGGACAGCTCACTAAAGCTTCTCAGTCACCCACTGGTGCCCTGCTACAATATAGATAAACCCTGCCTCCTCCATGTCAGTGGATTGGACGTTGACAATAAAATGTCAAAATACACATCAAAATATTTTTTTGATGTGTCTGGTGGTCTTATCACACTGATGTATGGTGTGATAAGTGTTCATTTTCTGGTTTTAATCACTTATTTAATGCTATGAAAATGGGTGAAACATCATGATTGGTCAAGCCGTGTTTCGACAGGACCTCACTACCAACTCAATGAAAATCCAATGACATTTCCTTTAGCCTGAGCTGTACTTTAAGCACTAGTTGTAAAACATAGGCATGCTATTACTAAAATAGTGAACATGGTTAACATTATACCTACTGTATGTTACCATGCTGCAATTAGCATTTAGCTTAAAGCAATGCTGTGCACAATTTGGCTCCAGTCTCTCAGAGCTGTTTGCTTTTTTTTTTTTTAAAAAAGGATAAAATTACGCTGTTTAATTTTTGATCATTCTTCCTGTCATTTCAGACCATGGCCTCTGTGAAGCTCCAGCACTGCTGGCCTCTGCAGCTCCCATGTTGTGTGATCCATCCACATAATAAGGCTTCTAATCATAAAACCATGTGCCGACACCATGCTGTTGGATTTGTTTGTATGCACAGTGATAGAACAAACCTGGAGGACGCCTGCAGGAATGCAGCTTTGAAATGCTCTGATGAATTATAAATTACTGCAGATGTATTTGTGCTACATTCACTTTTTGAGCTAATGTGGAAACACGCAGTTATGCAGTTCAGTTTTTCGCTCCTCCTGCTACAGTACGACTCTGTCCCACACATTTGTCTGGGGTGGTGAGGGGGGGCTTTGGACAGTGTGCTGGAGCAGGGGAGTTCCCACTTGGAAACATGAAAACAAACTTTAAAACCTGGAGGAGACCCAATAAAAGAAAGTCACCTTTGGGTAGAGAGAGAGCACAAAAGAGACAGAGAGAAAGGTCAAGTGGGGATGGTGGTGAACTCTTTCTCGAGAAGAAACCAAAGAAAATTTTAATTAAAAAAAATTATTACAGTTTTACTGTCTTTAACATCTGGAACAGTCACTCTCCTTTATTCCTCTCTGTTTCCCTTTAGCATCACCACCCAATATCCAAATCACCCACCCTTTACCTGTCAAGCTCTGGACTTGAACGGACTCATGACAGCTACGAGGGCCCACATCAACAGCTTATATCCATGGCAACCACAACTCATCCCAAAGGGACTACAGTATGTTTTGGAAAATAGAGAGTTATCTTGAACCAGATATGGACACAAATTATTTTTTTAAGTACATTTATATATATATATATATATATATATATATATATGTGTGTGTGTGTGTGTGTTGTGCTTGTATGGGGTTTAACTGTGACTGTACAAACAGTGTCATAGTGCAAATCCCTCTCACAAAGCTGAACAGGTTAATCACCAGCATACACTGTGATGGATGACGAACAGACACTTATTTGTGGAGCGCTCTGCTGAAACTGTTGTTGACTTTAAGTTTAAGCTAAACTCTAAGTTTAGCTTAAGTTAAGCTTCTATCCCTCTGGAGGTTTTTATCTTATCTTTTTATGAAGAGCAGTGGCATGACTTGGCAGCAGAGGCAGTGGGATGTGTGGGTTAATCTTACAAGTGTCTCTCAAGGAGTAGAAAAATAAGGTTTTATAATCCTGATCACAAATATTACATTTTTATGATCCCAGCAGATCTTCCCTTCCCTCCGGTTGTTATTGAGCTCATCTTTATTATCTGACGGTGCATTCCTGCATGTCATGTACCTCAGCTGTGTGCATTGTTGCCTTGTTGGTTGCTACTATAAATAGTGCCGGGGCAGAGACCAGGATCCTCCCTGCATTTGTCTCTGCCTCAGCACAGAGAGTGGGCCCGGAGAGGAAAGCTAAGGAGCTGTTTACCCAGCCTTTGTGCTCGTCAGGCCTCAGTGTTTGCCCTGGAGGGAGTGCCCCAGCTGGAGGGCCCTTCTGTGTGTCAGAGGGTGGGTGAGTGGAGTGGGGTGGCAGGACAGAATGGGACAAACCTGTGAGTTGGAGTTTGGAGAAGATCTGGGTGCTCCATAAGTAGAGAGTGTTTTCGGGGTGCAGTGAGCTGGAGCATTGGCGTTGCCATCATTCAGGATGGTGACAGCAGGTGACACTGAAGAGGCCAGGGAACGACTGACTGAGCAAACACATGAAGTAGAGATGCAAACGTGCCCCAAGTGTATGTGTGTATGTGTGTGTACAGAGTGAAGGCCTACATGTGTGCACAGTTAACCATGCATGTGTGGACGGAAGGATTATTTAAGTTAGTGATCAGGGGTCAGGAGGCCAAGTCTGACAGGACTGTTAATATTTCTTGTTGGAAACTCAAGACAATCAAAAACAAAGGGATGGAAATAGGACACAAAGAGACTCACAATTATGACTACTTGCAACACAACTACGAAAAGATGCATCCACAGTTAGATGAAAAAAAAAAAATTCCAGTCTGGATATGTTTCTCCCATAGGGAAGGTGCTTTTACATGTCTGTGTCCAGGGGCACATTGCCTCACAATCCATGCATTGAGTCTGTCCATGCTTTCTCTGTCTGTGTGTGTGGGCAAGTAAATGTGGAACATAGTGACACACACTGTGTAAACACTGAAGGACACATGTCACATCTCCTTCTTCCACTGGAGCACTTTTCAAGACACACTCCATGACCGTCCTCTGTGACAATCACTCCCCGCTTTCCTCCCTCCCTCCCTGCCTCCCTCCCTCTCTCCTCCCAGCGCAGGAACAAAAAGACATCTGAGCTATGTGGATGGGGAAGAAAAATCACTGCACTTGTACAGCAGGCCACCTCGCTCCGGTTTCACAGAGTCTCTGACAGGCGGAGCGCGCTGTTTTTACGCACAGCCTCCAGTCCTGCGGGGCATTGTAGACATTGTTTGGTCGCTGTGTAGTAGACTCCTGAGAAGACACCGGAGCGGCTCAGCCTGTGATAACCTGGATACCTGAGTCCAACGTAGGTTTAAAAAGGAAAACAGGAGAAGCGCTCGCTTGGGGACGCGCGGGCTGTCGCTGCGTAAAAGGCGTGACGTATGGACTTGTAATATTTAAGAAAGACATTTTAACCGAGACAGCGGAGTTTTTTTTCCATTGAACTTCGCATTCAAACCAAGTTTAGATCAATTGACGCGTGAAAGAAGAAGAAAACATGAGATGCCCGCGCAGAGACTCTCCATGGACGTCCTCTTGATCCTGTGTCGACCTTGACTTCGCTTTTGAAAGAGACGCCGAACATTTTGTGAGGCATTTCCCGCGGTGTTATTTACTCATTAACTATATGAGCTGTTTGGAGGCAAGACTGAACAGGTTACTGGAGGTAAGGAGAGGAGAGCCATGCCTGAAAAACTGGCTTCATTTCATTGAGATTCATGGTTGGACGTGAGTCAGCAGGGAGACAGCACGAGTATAGCAAATTGAGGACATTCGGTTTTTACTTCTGTCTGTTTGACTGTCCTCCTATGTCTCTCTCCCTCTGTGCCCCTCTCTCTTTCTCTCTTGCTTATACCATGGTGAAGTGTTTGTGTCGCCCCAAACAAACTCCTACATAATTATATTTTATATAGGCTTTACACTGCGCGCACCAGTCAGCTGTAAAGTTTATTTTTCCTTGACCTGGATAGCTGTGCCGTTGCAATATAAACAACTTAAAATACGTTTTGGATCATTTCACCTATTCCCAGAGAAAATCTAACTCTATTTAAGATTTTTCTTTTCCTAGAAACAAAACATAAGCAGGAGGTGATTGGTGCGTAAAAAAGAAAATTTGCTTCAGAATAACTGAGAGATGAAAGTGGGGGTATTTCAACCTCCTTAAACCTCTGGTAGATGTTGTGACTTTGGCTCACGCGTTAACTGTCTCTACTCACTATCCTGCTCCTCTGCTCTTGTTCAGAGCTGCTGAGACTGGACAGGACACCGACCAGGGAGAAAGGGATATTTGGCCGCGTAAAAGAGAAAAAGGGGAGAAGGAGGCGCCTCTCGTGCTGAAGCGGACCCGCGCTTATAGATGGATCCTTCGTGTTTGCTTCTGCCTCAGAGGAGTCGTCCTGCTCTGAACACCCGCGACCTACTGTGACAGTGAGGTGTAAAACATGACGCACCGCGGCGGCGTATGGATTTCCACAAATATGGGTTGCCCGCAGCGAGGAAGAAGCGTCTCCCCCCCCCTCCCCGGTGCGCACTTGGAGCGGGGGATTGCGCACAGGACAGCTGGTAAGGCGCAGTTCAGATTACCTCTGTAGTGGTTTTTAAAACAATGTGTCGGTCATTGAGAAGATTTCCTGTCGGCCTGCGCTCTTGTCTCCATGTTTGCTCTGCCAACACTGTTTGATGTTTGATTTCTTTTTTTTTGTTGCTCCAAACCTCCCTGCACGCACCTGCCAACCGCTGCAGGTCCGTCTGACTCAGGTTCACCGTGACCCTGGATCCAGTGGGGTGCTTTAATGTAGTGCTTATTGGGAGAATTTGTGAAATGTAAGCCGGGAGGAGAATGGTGGAGGCGTTTGTTCTCTGCGTTTTTATGAAGTCGAAGTTTTATGATTTATGTTCCCAAGTGTTTACAAGGTGTGAGGAGGTGACACAGAGCGGTGGAAAAATGTAAATCAAATGACTGTGTGTGTGGCTGAGGAGGAAACAGTGGCAGCCAGGAAGTCTTCCAGTGTGACCCTCCACTGTGATGGGCTGCAAATCTAAATATCAAAGTGCTGGTCTTACTCAAACACACACACACACACACACACACACACACACACACAC